GCTAAATCATTCCCCGAGATAAAATCTATCTCCTCAATGGGAAGACATGGCCGAACCCCGACAATTACCGGACCTGTGACTAGATCTGACTCAAGGTGAATATTATGTGAGGGCGAACCCACATACTGCATACCAAACCCCCTCACAAGAACACCAGATCCCACAGCAGACTCCTCAGAGAGGGGCAACACACCCTTCACGATGCTGTATCCCTCAAAATGGTTACTGGAACCCTGTTGTTCTTCCCCGGTAAAGACACCATTCCCTCCATGAGAAACGGAGCAAAGACTTCCAGTTCTGACTTAAAGGAGAGGTGTCATGGCCATTCCCACTGATCATAATTCCATTGTTGAGGTATACTAAAATAGATTTATACTGTGCATTTTTCCAAACTCACATTGGTTTCTCATACAGCATCTCTGTAAACTACGTGTATTCACTGAATTTCACTATTTGCCTTTAACGGCTCGTTGTAGCTCCAATAGCTCCAGCCCCCACCCTCCCTGTGAGCACAGTGTGCTCTAATTGGTCGGGACGTTGTGAATAGCACTGAGCTCCGTGGAGGTGTTGCTTCCTTGTTTAGGATACATAGCGAAACACAGCCAAACTCATCCTGAGCACACACAAAGTCACAGCCGAAGTAAAAACAATAAGTGTGGCTTGATATTGAGTAAGAAACAGGTTGATAAACGCTGTGAGAATGGGTCTGCAGAGAGAATGGGTCTGCAGAGAGAATGGGTCTGCAGAGAGAATGGGTCTGCAGAGAGAATGGGTCTGCAGAGAGAATGGGTCTGCAGAGAGAATGGGTCCGCAGAGAGAATGGGTCTGCAGAGAGAATGGGTCTGCAGAGAGAATGGGTCTGCAGAGAGAATGGGTCTGCAGAGAGAATGGGTCTGCAGAGAGGATGGGTCTGTAGAGAGAATGGGTCTGCAGAGAGAATGGGTCTGCAGAGAGAATGGGTCTGCAGAGAGAATTTTGCCGCGATCCCAACTGTCTGTTATCAGCCTGCAGCCAGGGAGGAGAAATCAGCTGAGCTGCCTGCTCCCTGCACACAGATGTGTGTGTGAGGAAGTCCGTGGATCGGTCAATTTGGACCAATCAGCGGGGGCTTAACGTAACGGCTCCGCGGACGTAACGTAACGGCTCTTCGGGATTGGTCCATTTCGTTCCGGGTACCGCATGACATCAGGCGGTACCCGGAAGAATCAAATGGGCAGTGACGTATCTCCAACGAGGCGTTTTGGGGAGGTATTTTCTGTGTTAGAGTTTTACTCGCTACAGGGTGTACTTTGAGGGTTTGTGACTCTGCACACCGTTTACATGCATACAAACCTTCATAACACACAAGGGGACGGGTAATAACCGGAAAAGCATGACATGGGAGCTTTAAGAGATCCTGGCTTTAAAGTATTCACCAAGGCGACCGACTTTACAGGCTTCTTCTCATCCCGCAAAGCATAACAATTAGCCACAATATGACCTTTTCTCTGGCAGAAGAAACACACTAGGCTATCCTTAGGTCCCCAATTCACCTCCCTCTGCTTTTCCTCTGCATTACCTGACATGCTGGACTGCCATGGCACGTTAGTGGATCCTGGGCTTTCCCTGACCTGGCTGTCACCAAACCGGGCCTGTGCCCCTATACCTCTCACTGAAGACAGACTTGTGAGTGAGAACATACTCGTCCACCATGTGGCTACTCTTTCAGGTAAACCGTTTTTAAACTCTTCCATGAGTATCAACGTTTTCAGGTCCTCTAGAGATTTTACCCCCGTCGACGAGCACCATCGATCAAACAGTCCCTCTTTCTCACGGGCGAATTCCACATAAGCTTGAGAATCATGTTTTTAAAACAACGAAACCTTTGATGATATGCCTCTGGCACCAGCTCATAGGCGCGTAGAATTGCAGCTTTTACCTGCTCATAATCCAGGCTAACCTCGTGAGACAATGCGGCATACACCTCCTGTGCCTTACCTGTGAGAACGCACTGCAGCATTACAGTCCACATGTTCCCAGGCCATTTCAAGGTTGTCGCAACCCATTCGAAAAGAATAAAATAATTATCAATGTCTCTCTCATGAAACACTGGGATAAACCGAATATATTTACCCACATCAAACTCATGTGATTGTGCAGACAACAACTGCTGAGCCTGGTGCGACAATGTCGTCAGTTCCAGCTCCTTTAAACGTAACATACGCTTGGTTTCCTTCTCAAGCTTCCTTATTTTGAGGTTACAGTCAATCTCTTTCTCTTTAATCATGTCTTGCCTTGTCTTCTCTTCTCTTCTCTTCTCTTGCCTAGCAACCCAGCTGAAACCACAGCCATGCTCCCAAGCCGAAGCTTCACCCACTTTCTCCGCAACACTACACACACCCAGCTCAACGATCCCAAGGGGAACGCCGCTAAAACTTACAGGGGAAAACTCTGCACCGCTCCAAATCAAATCAAATCAAATCAAGTTTTATTTATAAAGCACATTTAAAAGTGATTTTTG